CTACACCCCCGCACCCCTTGTCACCGGGCGGAAGCGGCTGTCAGGGCAGTGAGCGCGCTATCCTGAGCGACGCCCACCTCCGCGCAGCCTCCCCACTGGGCGAGGACGCCCCGGCTTCTCAGCTGGGAGGGAGCCTCAGAAAGCTCACCTGCGGGGCTGTCTCCTCCCGACGCCATTTCTACCAATACACTAACGGGGTAAGAAAAGGGAGGAGCTGAGCCCGACAGCCCGCGCCGGGGACCGGTCGGAAACCGCGGCCAGCGCCTCTGACGAGGCCGAGACCCCGCAGAAGCCCTCGCTCCCCACATCTGGGACGCACCCGCGGCCGCGCAGTTGAGGGCAGGCGGGACGCAGGCTGACTGCGCAGGCCGCCGCCACAGGACCGCGGATGTGGCCTCGACCTTCTCGTAGTCACGGCGGCCCGCTCCTCTCCTAAGCCGTCAGGGGCCGGAACGGGTGGAGTTCCCGCCAGGCCCCGACTGCGCCAGGCTCTCCCGCTCTCACCTTTCAAAGCGTCTCCGCCTCCGTCCCAGCGCCTCAGGAGCCACGCCCCACTCACTTCCTGGCCCGACAGGAAGTCCCGCCCCTGGGCGGAGCTGGGCGGGACTCGCGGCGGGAGCTGGGGCGTCTTCCGGGAGCGCGCGCTGGGGGAGGAGCGGCCGCGGCGCGGCGCGGCGGTCGCGGAGCCGCTGAGGTGGGAGAGGCGCGGAGGGCGCGCGGGTGGGGGCCGGAGCAGACCGGGCGGCGCGGTCACAGCCGAACGGAGCTGCTCCCTCAGGGCGCGCGTCCCGCTCCAGGCCAACTTCGGGGTGTGGCGGGGGTTAGTGACGGGCCTCGGGTTTGAGGACGATGGCGGCCACACGGAAGTAGAACACCTGTGATCCCGGCTCTCCGGGTGGACCTTAGTCTCCCATGTCCGCTAAATTAGGCCTGCCCTCCAACTTCCTGTCCCCTTCGGCTTGGCAGCCCGATGGGGCTTGGAGGGCCACGGACCGGGCGTGGCCGAGAGGGCGGGGTCGGTGGCGA